AAATCATGTCAGGGATGATGTGTTCCGTGTTTAGACACGGTTTTTTTAATTAATTTATTTTTGCCATTAATTTTATTTTTTTTTAAGTTTTTAAAATTGTTTCCTAGGTTAAAAAATGTGTAGAATTTAATGGTGAGGTCCAATTTCCAATAAAATGACTTTTGATTATTAATTTTTTTTTCCACTTTTTTTCAATTAATTGTTTGCATGCATGTTTTTACCTTATTTTTGATGCTTTTTTGAAGTTTTAAATTTATTTCCTAGGTTTTAATACTTGTAGAATTTAATGGTGTAAACAAAAAACTTTAAAACTTAGCGGTTCATTTTTAATACTGAAATTTGACATTTTTTCACTTAAATTTCTACAGCTTAATTTTCATTATTTTTTAAAATTTTAAATGTATTTCCCACACATTAAGACATGGCTAAAAAGATGGTAATAACCATTTTGCATAAAAATCAGCACTTGTTACTGAATACTGTGTTGGACAGGTTTTTTTTAATGTTTTTTTGATTGATTTTTACCAGCTTAATTTTGATCATTTTTTGAAATTTTAAATTCATTTCCTACATTCATAAACTTACAAAAGTTAATGGTGAAGTTCAATGTCCCTCAAACTCAAAGCTTCAATTATAATACAAGAGCGTGCACCGTTTCTTGCATAATTTGTACCGTATACAAACTGTATTTGAATGCAAAATGAATACATCCATAAATTTTAAAACATTCTAAAATGTAGGAAATGAACTTAAAGTTCCAAAAAATAAGGATAATTAAGTGTGTATGAATTAATTAAAAAAACACGTCAAAGGCATTATTCAAGATACAGTTTTTATTTTGATGCAAATTGATTGTTTTCATCATTTTTAAAATGTCTGTAAGTGTAGGAAACAAATTTAAAATGTCAAAAAATAATGAAAATTAAGCTCTTAAAAATCAATTGAAAAATATGACTAATTACAGTATTCAGAATGAACCGTTGAGTTTTATGGGAATGGAATGTTACCATTAAGTTTTACACACTTCTAAATGTAGGAAACAAATTTAAAATTTAAAAAAAGCATAAAAAATAAGGTACACACAAGTATGCAAACAATTAAGTGAAAAAGTGATGAATTAATTAAAAAAACATGTCAAATGCAGCATTCAAGGTATAGTTTTCTTTTTGGGAAAAAATGGTTGTTACCATCATTTTTAACATGTCTCAAAGTGCAGGAAAAAATTTTAAAACATCAAAAAATAATGAAAATTAACCTGTAGAAATTTAAGTGAAAAAAGTCAAATTTCAGTATTAAAAATGAACTGTTGAGTTTTGAAAAATTTGAATTACACCATCAAATTCTACACACATTGAAACCTAGGAGATAAATTTAAAATTTCAAAAAGCATAAAAAATAAGGTAGAAACATGTATGTAAACAATCAATTGAAAAATAAGGGTGTTAATAAAAAAACACGGCAAAACCGCGTTTACACGCGGTTTTGCTGCGGCACAGCACACGCGGATTCCGTGTTTAAACGCGCTTTTGTATTTAATTTTGTATGGCTTATTTTTTGAGTTTTTTTGAATTTTTAAAGTTGTTTCCTACACTATAAAAGGCGTAGAATTTAATAGTAAAAACCATTTTCCACAAAAATGAATTTTAATTATTTTTTTTTTCACTCATTTCTCAATTGATTGTTTGCATACATGTTTGTACATTATTTTTTATGTTTTTTTGAAATTTTAAATTTATTTACTAGGTTTTAAAACGTGTAGAATTTAATTGTAACATCCAATTTTCTGAAAACTCAATGGTTCACTTTTAATACTGAAATTAGACACATTTTTTCACCTAAATTTCTACAACTTAATTTTCATTCTTTTGTGACATTTTAATTTTTTTTCCTAAACTTTAAGACTTGTGAAAAATGATGGTAACAACTATTTTGCATCAAAGTGAAAACTACATCTTGAAACAGCATTTGACACCGTTTTTTTATTTAATTCTTCACTTTTTCACTTTATTGTTTGAATACATGCGTGTACCTTATTTTTTATGTTTTTTTGAAATTTTAAATTTATTTGCTAGATTTTAATACATGTAGAATTCAATGGTATAATTCAATTTCCATTAAGCCCAACCGTCCATGCTGAATACTGTAATTAGCCATAATTTTCAATTGATTTTTAACAGCTGAATTTTCATTCTTTTTTGAAATTTTAAATTTATTTCCCACACTTTAAGACATGTTGAAAATTATGGTAACAATCATTCTTCATAAAAACCAAATATTGATCTGGAATATTGCATTTGACATGTTTTTTTAATTAATTCATACACACTTGATTATCCTTATTTTTTGGAATTTCAAATTCATTTCCTCCACTTTGAAAGGTTTCAAAATTGATGGCTGTATCCATTTTGCATCAAAATACAATTTGTATACGGTACAAAGTATGCAAGAAATCGATGTACGCTCACATATTAAGATTGAAGCTTTGAGTTTTATGAAAATTGAACTTCACCATCAAATTTTCAGCATTTTTAAATGTAGGAAATAAATTTAAAATTTCAAAGAATGCTCAAAATTAAGCTGGTAAAAAGCAATTAAAGAAACATTAAAAAAAACCTGTCCAACGCAGTATTCAATAACAATCTTTGATTTTGATGTTAAATGATTCTTACCATAATTTTTTACATGTATTAAAGTGTAGGAAAGAATTTTAAAATGTCAAAGGAGAATGGAAATTAAGCTGTAAAAATGCAAGTGAAAAAATGGGTATGATTGCATTATAAAAAATGAACCATTCATTTTTATAAAAATTGGATGTTACCATTAAATTCTACACATTTTAAAACCTAGGAAATAAATTTAAAATCTCAAAAAAACATAAAAAATAAGGTACAAACATGTAATATGCAAACAATTAATTGAGAAATGAGTGAAAAAAAATTAATCATTAAAATTCATTTTTGTGGAAAATGGCTTTTACCATTAAATTCTACACCCTTTGAAACATAGGAAACAATTTTAACAAATGCAAAAAAACTCGAAAAATAAGCGGTAAAAAATTAATCAAAAAACCGTGTGTGCTGTGCCGCAGCAAAACCGTGTGTAAACGCGGATTTACCGCGTTTTTTTATTAACGCCCAAAAATAAGTGGAAAAAAAATGATTAAAAGTCATTTTATTGGAAAATGGACTTCACCATTAAATTCTACGCATTTTTTAACCTAGGAAACAATTTTAAAAACTTAAAAAAAATCAAAATTAATGGCAAAAATAAATTAATTAAAAAAACCGCGTCTAAACACGGAAAAACTGGGTTTTTTTTATTAATGCCCTTTTTATAAGGGACATATATATGATTGTGAAGTCCTAGCTACTAGGGTTCAAGTATGCTCAACGGAGCAAAGCTTAACAAAGCGGAACCCTTGTAACTAAGAACCTCGCTAATAATAATAATGGTTCTATTTAAATGATAATATTTTGGGGCTTGGTTAATCGACTCCCAAAAGTTGGAGAGTCGATTCCCACAACCCCCCTCCGGGGGTTTTTGTTTTTTTTTCCCTAAAATTTTTGAGGATTCAACTCCCAAACCTGCTGACGGGTTTGGGGAATCGACTAAAGATGACAATCGGTACCCGTTTGGAGGTACCTGGCACCTGTTTGCCTGGTACCGCCCGGACCTGCCTGGCACCTGCCAGGGGGTGCCAGGTGAGGTACCTGGTGTCCATTTTGGAGCAAAAAAAAGGTGGTACCAGGGTAACGCTAGAGGTACCCTCTTTACTGCACAGTCACTAAGTAGGGGGATGGCTGTTGCCTTCTACTCAAAAAATGGGATGATAAAGGAAGGGGTGTTGGCCAAGTGGAAAGATGGTATTCAGACTGCTAAGAAGGGTAAATCAGATGGGAAAGGTAAAAGAAAGGTGATAGTACTAGAAGATTAGCTCAACACAATACTCACATATAGTGAGAAAAAAAAAGTGAACTGCAATTTCAAGTCATAAGAGTGCCATTTGCACCGCGGCCACGGGTACCGCTGGTACCCGCCCAAAGTACCGCTGGTACCTGCCAGGGGGTGCCAGGTGAGGTACCTGGTGTCCATTTCTGAGAAAAACAAAGGTGGTACCAGGGTACCGCTAGAGGTACCCGGGTACCGATTGTCATCTTTAGAATTGACTCCCAATACTCGGGGGATACGGGGGAGTTTTGGGGGTTTTGGGAGTTTGGGAGTCAACTCTCCAACTTTTGGGAGTTGATTAACCAAGCCCCAATATTTTTCCTTTTCTTTTAAAATGAAAGATCGCAAAGAACAAAAATATCGGGATGAGAAAGAAGAGAAACCATCAAAAGGTCAAAGCTAAGAAGCTATATATACACAACAAAAACAAAGATCCACAAGTAACTAATCCTATTCGCCTATCATCATTGCACACGTCATAATTGACTACACGTCATAATTGAGACCAACAAGGCTGATAAAAATAAATGCTTGGTAATGATAAATAAAAAGCAGCCCAATGATCGTTACTCTTATACCCAAAGGAATGTAGAAGGTAAGCCTGTTAACTCTTAATCAGGTAAAGCAAATCACAACCTTACCGATCAACTTCATTCCTTTACTAAAGAACATCATTATTAATAACACAACACTATCAACAATCAGAAGTAAGACTTACCTAATCATACCTTACATCATAATTAATACAGACAACCATTGTCCTAACAACAGAAAAACATAAGACATAATCATTACCATGATGGATGTACTGGATGATGGATGTACTGGATGGAACTAAGGGGGTTCACGTTCCAGCCAAACCTCTGCTGATGCAGCTTAAGGTTTGCTTGCTGATGCACAAACCTGATGAACTTTAAATGTGGGATTATGAATCCACAGGGGGACCTCACACTAAACTTTTTTGGTTTCCCATAAACCTTAAAACTACCATTCCAGCAAAGTTCGACTGCTGATTTCAAAATCAGCAGTACGTGAACCCCCTTAGTGGGGAGATGTCTCCAAACTCTCCCAAGTTTGGCATGTTGCTAGGGACCGGTCAGGTGTCTTGCAGTGTGCCGCGTCATACATACAGCTTCGGGGTGATTCCCAGCAGCCCCCCGATATCCGAACGGGGGGCGTTACGACACCGGACACGGACAAGAAGGTCAACAACCAACGATCGTCATCATCATCATTACTTCGACTTCAACTTCAAGACCAGCTTGACTTGTAAGAAGAACACCGTCTCAACCAAAATGACTGAAACAGCACCCGCTCGAAAACAGGAACAAGATTTCACCAAGGAAGTGGACGAATTGATTCCTGAAGTGGATCGATTGATCAAAGTCAGTATTAGTCGTCGTCATCCTTGTTCGATTTCAATTCTGTCTAATCATGCGCAGAACAGGAGGATTACTGAACGATTGATTGCTTTTTTTTTTGTTTTCTATATCAGAATGGAAATCTTCAACAAGGGCTTGATAAGTTGCTAGTCTTAGAGAAACAAACGAGAAATGTGAGTGATCAATACAAAGAGCCAACTCGAACGGAATCCCCAAACAAAAGGAGGGGGGAAGAGATTAATGAACCGATTGGCATTGAATAGGCCTCAGATCTCTCATCGACGACCCGATTATTACTCGAGATAGTGACGAGAGTATTCGAATCCAAAGACATCGAAGGGCTCTGTTTACAAGTCCACCAACTGGCACGAAAACATGGCCAACTACGTCAGGCTACGACGACTATGGTCGAGAAGGTGATGAGTTTTATCGAGAAAGTCGATGATCATCAGCAAGATAAAATCAAGATGATCGAAAGTCTACGAGAAGTAACCGAAGGAAAAGTGAGTGATGAATTGCTGGATAGCCAAGGTTAAGCAGACTTCTAATAGACAGCTGTTTATATGTGTAGATATATCTGGAAGTCCAACGAGCCAGATTGACCAAACAATTAGCCCAAATAAGAGAATCCGAAGGCGCAACGAAGGTCGCGAACGAGTTGATGCAAGAACTACAAGTAGAGACCTTTGGCTCGATGGAGCGACGGGAGAAGATCGACTTCATCCTCGAACAGATGCGCTTACTCCGGATCCAACAGGACTGGGAGAAACTAGCGATCGTCAGTAAGAAGATCAACAACAAATGGTTAACCGAAGTCGAAAACGAAGTAGGTCATAACTTAACAAGCCAAGTCACATCCTGATGATCACTGAGACAAAACTTTCTGGATTGGATACAGGATTTAAAGTTGAGATACTATAGATTGATGATCACCTATGCATCCAAACAAAGCAAATACCTCGACCTATGTAAATATTATCGATCGATACATGAC